TCCGTCGTTCCCAATAATGCAGCCGCCCCATAGGCGGCTGCCTCAAACTAAAAAAAAAAAAAAAAGGAAGACGAAGGCCCCTCTTTATGTTTTCATTCCCCTTGGTCTTCCCTCCGTTCCCAGGGCGTTAACCGAGGCTTGGGGCGGCTCTTCCGCCCATTTGTGATCCTTCTCTGTCCGGCTTCAGGTTGCCTGGATGACATCCTCCACCCCCTCCATTTGAACCCTTCTCTTGGGGGCAGTGATCTCACTGCCCGGGAACCAGTTTTCCCTGTTTCCGGACAGGTGGCCTACTCCACCAATCTTACAGGTTAGGAAGGCAAGAATAATTTTCCTTTCAGACTTGCCTAAACTGTTGGGGAAGCTTATTTCATATATCTGCATTATCCCTTGAGTCCTTTTCTTCTAGGTCTCTCAATGATTTCTGCTGCCGTACCAACGTTCAGAAAGGAACAACTCGCGACTTCGGGTCGGAGTTCCCCTAAGAGTCCTCTTGTCCCTCCCTTGCTGGACTGGGCCGGCCATCAACAAGGGTCACTATCTCAAGGTACCCGACAGGCTATCCGTCATCACGGACGCAGGGCTACTCGGCTGGGGCGCTCTCGCCCTCCTCATCTTGTCTCAGGGCAGCTGGTCGGCAACAGATCTACCCTGCTCCACAGATTAGCTGGAGATCCTCGCTGTGCACCTGGCCTTTCGCAGCTTGCTACCCCAGGTACGCGGACCTCTCGTTCTGGTCCTCACATACAACACCACCACAAAGACACATGTATCCAGTCAAGAGGGCACTCAGTCAGCAAGGCTCATGAAGGAAGCCGAACGCTTTTGCTGTTGGGCGGAACCGAATCTGGCCTCCATCAGGGCAGGTCACATATCGGGAACATTGCTCATCTAAGCAGCTTGGCTCAGTAGGGCCACTCTGGCCTAAGCAGAAGGGCCCCTTCCACCCCTCCCTTTTTTCAAGGAGGCAGTCAATCTTCGGGCTCCCCACAGTGTATCCCTGCGCACCCTCTCTCAACGCCCAACCACCTAGATTCTTCCCCAGATACCCCCCTCCAAGGGGCGGGGAATCACAATGCCCCCCGTTGCCCTTGGGCCCCAGGGCTCCTTCATGCTTCTCAGCCCCCCTTGGGTTCAGACGCCCTTGATTCGCGACCTTCCGTAACTTTTTGGGGGTTCCTCCTTGGAGACCCCCCCCAGACAGGAGTCTCCTGTCCCGGGGTCCTCCACTACATCTGAACCCGCCATGGCCCCAACCAGCCGTCTGGGGGTCGAGCGGAACCACTTCAATACACAGAATGTTTCCTGCCGGGTTATAACCACCCGTGTATACGATGCTACGTGGGTCGCCTTCCGTGCCTGGGCCCTCAAGTTCCAAATTAACCCTCTCTCTCTCTTTCCATCGCTCAGATCCTGGAATTCATTCAGGAGGTCCTTTAACAAGGGACTGTCTACCACACCCTAAGGCTTCAGATCGCTGCCCTCGCAACGGTTGTCTCTTCGGACATTGGGGGTTCCATTTCCCACCACCCCCTTATCTGGGTTTTCCTCAGGGGAGCTCCCAATCTTCGCCCCCGATCATACACCGTTTTCCGACCTGGGACTTCAACAGGGTCCTAGTCGGTCCTAGCCCCCCTTTTGAACCCACTAGGGAGGCTTCCTTAAAATGTCTCACCCTCAAGACTGTTTTTTTCTTGTGGCCATCACATCCGCTCATCGGATCTCGGAGATGGCAGCCTTCCCATTAGGCAGGACCTTTGCGTTGTTTCACTCTGATAGAGTCGTCCTACGCCCCGACCCTACCTTCCTCCCTAAGATAAATTCAGTTTTTTTTTCCGCAGAGCTCAGGAGCTCACTCTCCCTAACTTCTGCCCCAATCCCTCTCGAGAGAGGGAGAGACAGTGGCACTCCCTTTATGTAAGGCGCGCTTTGAGAGTGTATATCAACGCACCCAGCCTTTTCGTAAGTCAGAGGCCTTATCTGTGTCCTTCTAACCTGCTTCTCTTGGTCACAAGGTGACGCCCACAACCGCTGGATTAGGGTCGCCATCGGCAAAGCCTACCAGGCACAGTCCCCCCCCATGGGCATTATCGTCCACTCCACTAGAAGTGCGGCTACTTCTGCCGCATGGGCCACACAAGCCTCTATAGTCAACATCTGTAGGGCTGCCACCGGGGCATCCCCATCTCTCTTCATCAAGCATTATAAGATTGATGTATTTACATCCGCCGAGGCTTCTGTTGACAGGCGGGTCCTTCAGCGGGTCCTCGAGGTTCCAGGGGAGGTTCCACCCCAGACAGGAGCCCGCCCGCAGGACTCGCCAAGCTTTGGTATGTCCCAACCTGGACACTCGTAGCAGCTCTATGGAAAAGGGGCGTTGGTTTTACCTGATACGCTTCTTTTCGTAGAGCTGCATAGAGTGTCCAGCCCCACCCATTAGCCCGTCTGGTGGGGAACCTCACTGTCCGACCAAGCAAACTAATACTCTTTAGTCAGGATGAGAATAGGGCCTTCCTTCTCGTCTTCGCAAAACTGGGGAGCGCCCAGAGGACCACGTGATGGTGAGAGGCGTTCCTCAATTTCAAGCTCAGCCTGTGAGAGCCGAGACTGGAGCTCCTCCCAACCTGGACACTCTATGCAGCTCTACGAAAAGAAGCGTATCAGGTAAGAACCAACGCCCCGTCCCTGGCCCACAGGACTTCTGTACACATTCCCCCCACTAGCCCTTATTCCCAGAGTCATTCAGAAGTTGATCCATGAGAAGGCGGAACTGCTTCTGGTGACCCCCTACTGGCCCAGACGACCGTGGTTTGCGGACCTCCGCGACCTATCAGTAGCCCCCCCCGGAGGATCCCACCAGACAGGATCTCGCTGTCTCAGGGGCCCGTCCTGCATCCGAACCCGCAATGGCTCCAATTAGCCGTCTGGAGGTTGAGCGGGACCGTTTAAAGAGAGAAAAGTTTTCTAACCAGGTCATTGACACCATTCTAGCTGCCAGACGCCCTCTACCACCCGAATCTATAACGCTACATGGACCATCTTCTGTAGATGGTGCCACAAATTCCAAATCAACCCACTCTCTCCGTCTATTGCTCAAATTTTGGACTTCCTTCAGGAGGGACTGAACAAAGGACTATCCCCCAATACATTGAAACGACAGGTCGCAGCTCTGTCAACCGTCATTTCTTGCGACGACAGTGGCTCCCTCTCCCATCATCCCCGTATTCGGGCTTTTCTTATGGGAGCCACTAATTTACACCCTCCAACTGTACACCAGTACCCAACCTAGGACCTTAATAAAGTCCTTGTTTCAATCACTAAACACCCCTTCAAACCCCTAAGGGAGACCTCTCTCCAGTTTTTAACTTTCAAGGTGGTGTTCCTTGTAGCTGTCACATCCACCCGTTGGATATCGGAAATCGCAGCCCTGTCCGTTAGAAAGGACCTCTGCATTTTTCACACCGATCGGGTGGTTCTCTGACCTGACCCTACCTTCCTGCCCAAAGTCAACTCAGCTTTCCACAGAGCGCAGGAACTCATTCTCCCAAACTTTTGTCCCAGACCCTCGCGGGATAGGGAAAGACAGTGGCATACCCTTGATGTGAAACGTGCTCTGCGCATTTACATCAAGCGCACTCAGCCCTTTAGGAAGTCGGAATCTTTATTCCTTTCATTCCAGCCCAAGACACTAGGTTACAAAGTATCCCCGTCAACTATAGGTCGTTGGATCAGAGCAGTAATCTCTAGGTCCTACCTATCACAAGCCTTGCCAGTGCCCAGTGGAATAACAGCACATTTCACTAGGAGTGCGGCTACCTCGGCGGCCACTCAGGCATCAATAACAGACATCTGCCCGGCGGCCACCTGGACATCCCCATCAGCTTTTATTAGGCATATAAGATTGACGTGTTTGCCTCCGCGGAGGCTTCATTTGGCAGATGAGTCCTACAGCGGGTCCTCAGAGACCCAGAGGAGATTCCGAACCAGACGGAGTCCCTCCCGTAAGACAGGCCAAACTTTGGTATGTCCCGCTCTGAATGCTCTGAGCAGCTCTATGGAGAAGGGGCGTTGGTCCTTACCTGATACGCCGCTTCTTGTCGAGCTGCGAAAAGCATCCAGCCCCCCCCCCCCCTAATTTCACTGTCTGGTGGGGAATCTTGTTTCGGCCAATGAACCACTAAGGTAGTTAGGATGAGGACACAACTTTTTGTCTGCTCGTCTTCGCAAAACTGGGGAACGCTACGGTGGAGTCACGTGGAGGAGGTGGAGCATTCCTCAATTCAAGCTCAGCCTGTGACTACAGAGACTGGAGCACCTCCCACTCTGGATGCTCTTCGCAGCTCGACGAGAAGCGGCGTATCAGGTAAGGACCAGCGCCCCTTATCTCAATGTATATTTAGTGAAACAAAAGCCAGTATGTTAATTCCTCCCCACCCCTCTTGTAAGGAACGATCTTTTCACAGTTTCCCAGGGCATACCTAATTTCCCCCCCACCCCCTTTTTAGAACGAACTATTCAAGAGATTCCCAAAGTACCATCTCACTGTGGAATTTTTATGACCTTCTCATCTCCTGGTTGTGGCTCTCAGAGGTGATAGTTCTGGCCATCTGGCTTTTCTCCTTCCATCGTATCATGTGTGGGTTATACAAATTTGATATATGATTAAATATATTCAGGTTACATCAAGAAAGGATTTCTTTATCAGCCTCCCCCACCCCCCGGAGGCTGATAAAGGATCTGACACTCTGCAAGTATTGCATCGGCAAACGTAACACTTTACCAATGTTCATTGGGGATGTGTGGGCATGTTTACACAAAATTTCATTGAAATCCGTGATGATCGAGTGGGGCACTTTTCTGAAATCAGATTTCTTAACATGGAATGACCCTTAGGTATGATCAGAAAAGTACAATTTCATATATATCGAATTTCCCAAAATATTTATATTTTATAAAGGGAGGGAGAAATAACTGGGTTATATGTTTTTTCCCCATCCTAGTGACGTACTGGCACTTCCCATTTTTAAACAAGAAGACTCTAGCCTTGCCTCTGATAATGACACAAATCATCCTCCATTTCAATATGTTATGTCTGCTGCAACATCCCCAGCAATCAAACTGCATGATGAAACACTTACTTATTTAAATCAAGGTAAGCATTTGTCTTTTTTTGTGAAGGGGAAGGGGATACATAGCACAAACACACAGACACATACATAAATTACAGTGGTGGGATTCAAATATTTTTGCCATCAGTTCGGTGGGTGTGGCTTGGTAGGCGTGCTTTGCACGCGTGCACACATCTTGTGTGCATGCGCGCACCAAACGCGTACTTTGCGCAGACGCGGTGGCATTTGCACAGACACAGAGGCGTTCTAACTCACTTCCTGCAAGCCTGCATGATCCTGGTTGCTTCAGCAACTGCCGTGTGGCACTATTCTGTGCCGCACAAAGCAGCTGTGCTTCAAATTCAGTGGATAAAGGTGAGTATGGGAGCCCGGGCAGGGGGATGGGCCCAACAGCAGAGCGGTGGAAAGAACCGGTTTGGTCTCCACTGCTCATTGCTGCTACCGGCTCGCCAGAACCAGGCCAAACAGGTAGAATATCACCACTGATACATTATATATTACAATATATATGCAGGTAGTCCTTTAGTTATTACCGTAACAGAGCCTGTCCATTACAATTGTAACTCATATTGGTCATAATTTTGATCACCCATGGGTCCAGTCTGATTTTACTGCCATTTTTTGCAACAATTAAACAAATGTTTGGTCATTAAGCAAACGTTGTTAAACCCATGCTTCGTTAAGGGCCAGTTTTTCTAGAAACCAGAAGGATGCAATAAGATTAGCAGACTTAATTTAAATTTTTCTCTTTAAAGTGATCTAAGCAGAAAAATATATTTTAAAAAATGTTATGTATATCATATGAGAACCCAGATTGTTTGGGGCAATATGCTGACTCTGCTTAGAGAGGGCTGTAAAGCACTATCAAGTGGTATGTAAGTCTAAGTGCTATTGCTATTATAGTACAAAATAAATAACCAGTAGAAGTGTAGTTTTCCTGATTAATTCAAAGTTGTTTTATTTGCTTTACTATTACTTAAATTAATAAAATCTATGCATATATATTTAAATAATATAACATTCATTGAGAGTCACCTTAATGTCATATTTTAATTCATATTTTCTGTTTTAAGATTATTGCTAATTCTGTATTTTGTAACATAAATATAGCATATGTAGTCCACAGTGTTTTCTAAAAAGATGGAAAGAGTGGATTGAAGCCAAATTCAATAATACTTGGAAAGACATTGGTGACAATTAACTTAATGTTGCTATATGTACTAATCATGACCAAGTGTAAATCTCCTAATATAAGAAACCAGTTTAAAAGTGCATTCTGGTGACTGTGATGATGACCACAATATTTTGCTTTCTTGCAGTTTCAATGTTTCATATTTAGAAACAAATGGCTGTTTATAGTTTGCATATCTAGATTATCCAGATTTCAGAATATGTGTGAATCTCAAATATAGCATTTATCTAGGTTGTTCCTAGCAAAAATAAAAAGGCTATTTATATTGATAGGTAGAGTCAGAGCTGGAAACAGTTTCTGAAGTGAATGACTAAGTCTTGCAAAAGATGTGACATTGTTAAATGTTTCATTGTAAACATCTCTTTCTGTGTTTTACTTAGAACTAGCATTTATTTAGTGGATCTCTTATTGTCAGTACTAACCTATCATCACAGTCTCTCTTCTTTCTTTCCACTTGAAAAAAGATTCTGAGAATTTGAGAGGGGAACCAGAACTAGTTTTTACACAATGTATGTTTCATTCCTGTTCTGCTTTGTAAAGAAAAAAGCAAATAGTATGTCATGTTTTTGTTATAATTAACAAATGTAAATTGTTTTTAAAGAGAAAGTCTAAAAGTTTGTATAGAAATACTAAGTATACATGCACGTATATCTCTTTCTTTTTCTGTTTGGAAGGTCAGTCCTATGAAATTCGGTTGTTAGATAATCGAAAAATGGGAGATGTGCCTGAGATCAGTGGGAAATTAGTAAAGGTATGTTAGTACTTCAGCTTTGACTCTTGTTTCTTTGAAATTCTCTTATTTTCTCTACAGTAACATTTTCTTGCTCTGGGTGTTAAAATGCCACAATGGGAGTATGGAGGAAGCTTCTGATATACTCTGAACTGCAGGGACAGGTTTGGGAAAAGAATGTTCCTTTTCCAGTATTTCTTCCAGATAACTTTATCAGGAGGGGAAAATAACATTGAAAGCAGCTGCAAGCACGTGATTACATAGCTCTTTTTGTTAATTGTTGTACTTTGAAGAATTTATTTGTTAAAATTATATTCAAAGCTTATTTTCTTTTTGAGATATAGGTGATATATGGAATGGTAATTATAAAAAAATCCAGAACTATTGTAAATGTCTATAGTTACAATGGTTTAGTATGTAAGATAATACTAAGTGTGGAGTCTAGTAATGTTTACCAGTTTGTATCGGTTTGTAAAATTGGAGTTCTTTTCTTTTTTAAATATAACTTCCATTGAAGATATTTATATTAATAAAAGAACAAGAACATGTGTAAAAACATGTAAAAACGAATTATAAAAAAATAAAAAGTGTGAGAAACAGTACAAATAAAGAAGAAACGATAAAGAAGCAGCTGAATATTTTTTTTTATAAATTTTTTTTTATTTTTTAATAACAAGATAAACATAAGCATACATAACAAGATAAACATAAACATACCACAAAAAACATAAAAACAAAAAACATAAAAATATCCTTCTTCATGAATTTACATACAGTGCATCGATTGGTTTACCACTTTTTTTTGTGCATCCATTTCCTAGTCACTAGTATAATTATATTACATAATAGCTCATATTATCAATCAATAATTGTATAACCTAATATCATCACTAAAAAAAATCATTTATCTATAATTTTGTTAATTCATATTTTAACGAGATAACTATAGTTTACTTAATTTATTTCGCAATGAATCATAAGATCATACCAAATCTACCTTAATAATGTTTTATAAAGATAATATCAAGAAAAAAAAAATTTTTTTATGCTAAATCTGAATATTCTATCATTATGTTTTATTATCTAACCATTGATAAAAAAAGATCCCAAACTTCATAAAATTGTTTATCTTCTTGTTCTCTGATTTCAAATGTCAATTTACTCATTTCAGCACAATCCAATATTTTCTTAATAGTTTCTTCTTCTGATGGAGTTTTCTCACTCTTCCAGTTCTTAGCAAATACAATCCTAGCCGCTGTTAATATATTTACAATCAAATACTTCAAATTTTTATTATATATATCAGGTAAGATTCCCAATAAAAAAATCTCTGATTTCAAGTCTATATGTGTCTTTGTCATTTTTTCCAACCATATGCGAATTTTAGTCCAATATTTTCTAGCGTCCTCACAAGTCCACCACATATGGTAGTATGAGCCAGGTATCTGATGACATTTCCAACATTTTTCAGATTTGTTCTTAAACATTCTTGCAATTCTTGTCGGGGGAAAATGCCACCTGTAAAACATCTTATACAAGTTTTCTTTATAAGCTGTTGACATTATCATTTTATAATTTTGAGACCACAATTTTTCCCATTTCTCCAAATCAATCCCATATCCAAAATTCTTCCCCCAAACAATCATCGTTTCTTTAACTTGTTCCTCCTCTAATAAAATTTCCAACAAATAAGTGTATAATTTTTTAATCATTTTTTCATCAGTACCTGTCAAGATCCTGTCTAGATCAGTCAATTTATCATAAAATCCCTCCGCTTTAGAATCTATAAGATACCTTGAGTGTATTTGCGCATATGAAAACCAATTCATCTTTATGCCTTGTTCTTCTAGTTTTTGCATTGTTTTAAGTTCACTCTTTTCATCCAATATTTCCCCATATCTAACTGTTTGTTCCTTCTCATATATTATAGGATAAGAAAAAGCTTCAATAGTTGATAACCAGACTGGGATTTTCAAATAACATTTTCTCTTAATTTTCTCCCAATTCAACCATAAAGACTCCCTTATATAATGCCTTCTAAAATAGCCCTGCGATTTAGTTCCCTTATACCACAGAAAAGCATGCCATCCCAGTAATAAATCATGCCCCTCTAGTGTCAACAATCTAGTCTTTCATAATGTTATCCAATCTTTAACCCACATTAAATTTGCAGCTTGGTAATACAACTCCCAATTCGGAAGGCCAAAACCTCCTCTAATTCTAGCATCTTGTAGAAGTTTTAATTTTATTCTGGCTTTCTTACCTTGCCATATAAACTTCAACACAATTTTATTTAATTCTTCAAAGTAATCTTTACCAAGCCTGATTGGTATGGTTTGGAATAAATATAAAATTCTGGGTAAAATATTCATCTTGATTGTTGAGATTCTACCTATCAATGACAATTGTAGATTTTCCCATTTTTTTCAAATCAGATGCTATCTGTTGTTTAAGTTTAATATAGTTATTCTCTTTCAATGTAGTACATCTTGACGTCAAATATATCCCCAGATATTTAACCTTATTCGTAACTTGAATTTTCAATAGATCTGCCAGTTCATCTCTTTGTTTTAATAACATATTCTTTGTCAAGATCTTTGTTTTATCTTTGTTTATTTTCAAGCCGGCCATCTCACCATAAATCTCTATCTTTTCCAGTAGCTTTAAAGCTGTTCCTAGAGGATCTTCCAAAATAAAAACCAAATCATCCGCAAAGGCTTGCAATTTAAATTCCTCCTTCTTAATTTTCATTCCTTTTATATTTGGATCCTCTCTAATGTTTCTATTCAGCACTTCCAAAGTCAATACAAATAACAAAGGTGATAATGGGCAACCTTGTCTTGTGCTTTTTCTTATATTAATAGAATCTGTAAAATCTCCCTCTATCATCACTTTTGCCGTTTGTTTGTCATATATGGCTTCTATTGCTTGAATAAATTTTCTAGCAAAGCCCATCTGTTCCAATAACAAAAACATGAATCTCCAATTCACATTATCAAATGCTTTTTGGGCATCTAAAAATACCAAAGCCATTTGTTTTTCAGGGTGTGCGTCGTAATATTCCAAAGTGTCCAAAATTACCCTCATATTATCCCTAATTTGTCTCCTTGGCAGGAATCCATTCTGGTCAGGATGAATAAAGTTATTTAGGTATCTTTTGAGCCTTTCTGCCAAGATGGAAGCAAAGATTTTGTAATCTGCATTCAGTAAAGAAATAGGTCTATAGTTCTTAATTTGTGATGGATCGGCCCCTTCTTTTGGAATAAGTGCGATATAAGCTTCTGACCATGTTTTGGGTATTTTCTTATTTAACATGGCTTCATTCATAACTTCTAACAATGGGGTGCTCAACGATTCTTGTAATGTTTTATAAAATTCTGCCGGGAGCCCATCTGGGCCTGGTGCTTTTCCATTATTCTGCCTATTAAATGCTTCCGTTAGTTCCATCATTGTTATGGTACTTTCTAACATTTTTTCAGTCTCTTCAGATATCTTGGGTAGGTTAGCATTTTGTAGATGAAGCTTAATTCTTTCCTCATCAAAATCCTCCTGTTTATATAATTGTCCATAAAAGTCTTGGATAATTATCTTTTTCTCCTTATTACCATAACACATTTGGCCTTGATCGTCTATTAACTGTACTATTTTCCTAGATTCTTTCTCCTTTCTCAATTTGTATGCTAGCCATCTACCTGGTTTATTTGCATCTTCAAAATAGTTCTGTTTAGCACTTCTAATTTTTTGTGCCAATTCCTCTTTCTCTGCCTGACCCATCTTATGTTTAATTATATCCATTTTGAATTTAATATCTTTTTTCTGTGGCATATTCTGCAATTCTTTTTCCAGTTTTTTATAATCATCTTCTAAAGCTTTAATAGTTTGCCTCTTCCTAATATTCTTTTTCTTTGTATAATCCATTATTAATCCTCTCGCATATGCCTTCATTGTATCCCAAACATTCTGCATTGAAGTATCTTCTTTTTTATTTTCAATGAAAAAAAAGCCAATTCTTTGTCCATCCATTGTGTAAAGTCTTTTTCCTTTAAGATAGCGTTATTTAATGTCCATCTAGATCTTCTTCTTTGTCCTTTCCATTTAATTGTCATAGGGTTATGGTCTGCCCTTATACCCGTTTCTATATTTATTTCTTGAATGTTAGATATTAGTTCTGATGAGGTCCAAATCATATCTATTCTGGACCATGATAAATGTCTATTTGAATAAAAAGTATATTGCTGCGTTTTACCATTTCTTTCTCTCCATATATCTTTTAAATTTAATTCATCTACCATTTTAAAAAAGGATTTAGGGAGAGTCTTTCTATTTTGTTTTAATGCTGTCGCTGTATAGTCCAATTTATTATCTACAATTCCATTAAAATCTCCCATCATAATTATATTGACATGGTCCCGTCCAATTGATTTCATATGTAACTTTTTATAAAATTCTTCTTGTTTATCGTTCGGAGCATAAATTGCAACAAGTAATATTTTTATATTGTTATCCACTATTTCAACCATTAATACTCTTCCATCTTCATCAGTATAAACCAATTTTGCTGCAATAGTTTCTTTAATGTACAAGACCACTCCTCTTTTCTTACAGTTAGTCAAGGAAGTAAAAAATTTTCCCAGTTTTGGTCTTACCAGTAATCGTTGATGTTGTTTTTTAATATGTACTTCTTGTAGGCAAATTATATCAAATTTTAACTTCTCCAATTTATGAAAGATTTTTCTTCTTTTAATAGCTGAGTTCAATCCATTTATATTCATAGAAATCAATTTTTTTTCCTCCATGGTTATGTTTTATATTTAGGTCTAACAGTTCTTGTAGATCTTACTTCACGATGTTCTTTGGTCTCCATTTGTCCACCTACCGCACCTTCTTCTTTCCCCGGTCTCATCTGGTCTTCTTGAGGCTCAATTGCAATGGACTCTTTTTCTGTCTCTATTTCTCTTCTTCCAAAAAATTTGTTGTGGAATATTTCTGCTTTCTCAATTGAGTCGATTCTGTGTCTCTGTTCTTGCCATATAAACATTAATCCTTCTGGGATCAACCATCTATAATTCACGTCTTTTTCCAATAATTTTTTGGTCAAAAATCGATATTCTCTTCTCATCTCTCTCACTTTCCTGGGCACTTGTTTTAAACCATAATCTCTTTACCTTTATATTTCAACCCCTTATCTCTTGCGACTTGTAATATTTGTGTTTTAATAGTCTTTTTAGTAAATCTGACATGGATCTCCCTTGGTAGCTTATTCCTCATCGCATATCTTGTGAAAACACGATATATCTCATCTACTCCGTCCATCATCTTTTCCTCTGTTATCTCCAAAGCTCCAGCCAGAATTTCTATCATTACAGCCGCCAAATCTTGTCCTTTTTCTTCCTCAATATTTTGAAATCTGAGATAGAATTCTGACCTATCCATCTCCCACTTCAACATCCCAGTTATATCTTGTTGCACCGTTGTTAATTTGTTAACAATATTTCCAATTGTCTCATCTCTTTGTTTATCTTTCTCCTCAATTTTTTGGAGTCTCTCCTCCTGTCTCGCCATCATTTGTTGGAAGTTTTCAATTTTTTCATCAGTCTTTGCAATTCTTTGTTCAATACTCTCTGTTCTTTGATCAATACTTGTTTTGAGTTCTTGTATTCCTTGTATAATCGTCACTAGATCCGTTTGTACTTTATCTTGCTTCGCCATTATTGATAGTCGTCCTCCAGTTGATGGAGAAGCAGGAGCAGAAGTTGAACTGCCAGAAGGTAAAGTTTTCTTACTCATTTGAATAACTCAGGATCTTTAAGCTCCTTTAATCCAATTAATAGGGTAGCCAATTATAATCCAATTAGGAAGAAGAAAAACATTTTTTTTTAAAAAGCCAGTAAAAAAATAAAGAATCCAGGATTAAAAAGAGAAGGAGAAAAAGAAGATTAAAAAGAAAAAGGAGGAGATTCTTCAGGTTCTTCTAAACCTTAATCCTATTGTAAAATGGTCAATTATGATTCAAAAATAAAAATTAAGAATAGTAAAAAAGAAAAAGAGAGTAAGACCCAATAATATTAAAAAGCAATGATCAAAAAAAAGAAAAGGAAAAAGAAAGAATTCTTCAGGTTCTTCACACCTTAGTCCAATTATAGGGTCTCAAAAAATAAAAGAAAATAACCATAAAAATAAATAAGAAATGAAAATAGAAAATAGAAAAGGCAAAAATCCCAATAAGCAAAAAGAAAAAGGAAAACTATTCTGAGGCTTTCCCTTTAAAAAAAAAAGTAAGTTTTAAAATTAAAAATAAAGTCAAACAAAAGAAAAAGAAAATAGATATACAAATATTACAAAATACTGTGGGATTGAAGAGGAGGGATGAAACAGCTAAAGAAAAATAAGAAAGAAAGCACACTGCATCTTATTTAGTTATCCAAGGCTCTCATGGCTTCTCCACAAATTCCAAAGCCAAACTTCAAGTACTCAATTAATAATAGAAGTTCCAAAGAACACCTTTAAAACATTCTCCGGTGTTCTTCCCTCTATCTAATCAAGTTCCAGTGTCCTTGAGAAAGGATTCCTTCACAGCTCTTTCAACTTCCAATGAAGTATCTTCAAGCCTCTAGTTGGCAGTGTTACAAGGTTTCTTTAATCCACTCCCCCTTCCTTCCCAAAAAAGCCTAATAAAAAAAGGGAAATATACATGTGTATATATGTATTTAAGAAAAAAAAAATACTAAAGGGAGCCTCTATTCTAAAAAAAAATTATTAACAGTCAAAAGGGGGGAAAAAGAAAGAAAAATAAAAGGAAAAACCAGTCTAGTTACAGTTACTAGATCACAATGGAAGTTCAATGAAAGCAAAAGTAAAAGTAAAAAGCCAAGCCTCAATTTGACATTCTCTTTAAGAAATCGCCGCTAAATCAGTTTCATCAGTTTTTGTCCAAAGTCTTACAGGATTCTTCTCATTTTAGAGTGTCCTTGAGTCCCCGAGGAAAAAAAAAAATTCTCACCAGCCGATGCACTCTCTTTCAGCCTCTTCCTTCCGGAGCTGTCACAGCTTCAGCAGCTTAAAGGCTGCCTCTCCGCCGATGGTAAAAGGGCTTCTTCTGGATCAGCCAGGGGCTTTGCGATGTCCCTGGGATCAGCAGAACGTGCCCCTTACTATCACCGTCTCTACGGGACGGTTTAGGTCCATTAGGACCGACCAGGGGCGAAGATATCAGCTGCAATCTCAGAGCCCCAAGATTGCAGCTGTATCGCAGCGACGTAGCTCCGCCTTCTCCCCGAAGCAGCTGAATATTTTTATAGCAGTTATAAACCAGCTTATTATCCTTTCTCCCTCTCTAAAATTACGTCACATAATTCCCTTTATACCATATTCATATTCTCTCTGTCCCTTTTAATCAGAAGTTTCAGAAATTATTTCATTTTTCCCTATTTTCAGCAAAAACTCTATAAAAGATTTCTAGTCTTTGGAAACACTTTTTATATTTTTATAAAGGTATTCTTCTATCTCTGATCAAACAGGTCAATTTTGCCATTTGTGCACATTCTGCCATCTTCATACTCCATTCCTCCATTGTGGATATTTCAGTATTTTTCAAACATTGTGCATAAAATAATCTTGTTCTTACAACATACAAAATTAATAACTTATGAATTTTTTCTGATTGATTATTCATAAATCCCAATAGAAAAATGTTTTTATTTATTTAAAACCTTTATTTAGTTTTCCATCTTAAGCTGAACTCCCAAATTCTGGTTAGAAAATTGCAATTTCTTCCTGAAGTACAAGTTTTGTTTTATTCTTTGTTTTCTGAATTACCTGATATAAATGTGGTTATTATACAGTAACCAAGTAACATTTAGTCTGCGGTCAGTTGTGATCTTCCCTGATACGGTGATCTCCAGGTGGGTTGGGACTACTCTTTCAAGAATTCCAGCTGACTCAAAGTTTTCCTATCTATATTAAGGGCACCAGGTTAGGGAAAAGAAAGTAATATTGATTCATAAATTAAATTATGAATGCCTGAGCATTTAAATCTGGTCATTGCAGCTGTTCATTGCTTTGTTGTATAAAAAACAGGTCCTTTGCCTCTTGGCAAATTGAGGTGACTTCTAATTCTTATGATGTAACTGAAACATGTAAATTAGGGTTAGAGTGTAGTAAAAATAATTACTACAGACCTTACTACATAGGTCTTAAGGCCTATGAACTTATTTTAATTGAACTATAAGATAATGTATTCATTTGGTCCACATAAGTGGATATTCTCTTGGTTATTTTTCTCTATTAGAAATGATTCTATACTTGTGATTAACACAGTCTGTTATTCTGGATATCATCTGAAAGGAATTTGTATCTTTATATCTGAAAGAAATTTATATCTCCAGGTTAAAAACATATTCTATTTTTACTGGGAGAGTTGATATTTTTTCTTTTATATTAGAGTATCATAAGAGTAGTATTCCATGACAGAAGATTACAGTACACTGAGCATCAGCAACTAGAAGGCTGGAAGTGGAATCGCCCTGGAGACCGATTACTTGATTTAGGTAAAATCATGAATTGTTAATATATTCATAAAAATAAACTGAGAACTGAGTTACTGTGAAATAATATTTAAATACCTGATTTAAATAATATATTGTACACTGAATTATGTAAGTTATAGTTCTGTTTTGTGAGTTATTTAGAATAGAATAGAATAGAATAGAATAGAATAGAATAGAATAGAATAGAATAGAATAGAATAGAATAGAATAGAATAGAATACTTTATTGGCCAAGTGTGATTGGACACACAAGGAATTTGTCTTGGTGTAAATACTCTTAGTATACATAAAGAAAAGATACATTTGTTAAGAATCAAGAATCATAACGTACAACACTTGATGATAGTCATAGGGTACAATCAGCAATCAAATCATACTAGGAAACAGTCAATATAAATCGTAACGATACAAGCAACAAAGTTACAGTCCTACAGTCACAAGTGGAAAGGGATGGGTGATAAGGAGTGATGAGAAGATTAACAGTAATAGTAGACTTTGTAAATAGTTGAACAGTGTTGAGGGAATTATTCGTTTAGCAGAGTGATGGCTTATGGGAAAAAACTGTTCTTGTGTCTAGTTGTTCTAGTGTGCAGTGCTCTATAGCATCGTTTTGAGGGAAGGAGTTGAAACAGTTTATGTCCGGGATGTGAGGGGTCTGTAAATATTTTCACAGCCCTCGTTTTGACTTGTGCAGTATACAGGTCCTCGATTGAAGGCAGGTGGGTAGTAATTGGTTTTTTTGCAGTCCTAATTATCATCTGAAGTCTGTGTCTGTCCTGTTGGGTTGCAGAACCAAAGTAGACAGTTATAAAGGTATAGATGACAGACTCAATAATTCCTCTGTAGAACTGTATCAGCAGCTCCTTGGGCAGTTTGAGCTTTCTGAGTTGGCGCATAAAATCTGTTACAAAATCTGTTACAAAAATTAACAGACTCACTGGAAGACCAAAGAATAACACTTAAAAAAAGATTTATGTATTTAAATAACATTTATTATTTTTATTGTTTTAAAATATTGATTTTTCAATATTTTTCTTCATTTTATAGATATTCCTATGTCTGTTGGAGTAATTGATATAAAAACAAATCCAAGCCAACTCAATGCAGTTGAGTTTTTGTGGGATCCTGGAAAACACACATCTGCCTTTATTCAGGTTTGAAATTATTATTTGAAATTGTCAGGTTCACAGAAGGGTAATTCTTAAAATAGTGCGTAATATTTTTGCATTGAGATCTAGGGTTTTCTTTTTTCTTTTTTTATTTCTGATGGCCATAGTAGATATGAACAATAATGTAATATCAGTATTATTAGAATCAAAATACTTGCCCTGATTTTTTTGAAGTGGGGGTGTTGATTTGAAGTGATTTTAATGTCAACAGGCATGCACTAAACATCCTCCACACATAGTAAAAAATCTGCCTTTATTATGATGGACTTTTTTTTACAGTTTTACACATATCCTGTACTTCCTGCTGGTCCAATATGTTTAAGTTTCCTTACCTGGTAGAACTCTAGGGATCTCAAATCCAGGTAGAGAAACATTCAAGCAATACATTATGATAAAAATATGTTTTTCTCCTGTTTGTCCTTGTCATTTGGCATTCAAAAGTTTAAAGCTTCTGAATCTTGAGTTCCATTTTTTAGCCTGGGTAATATCTGTAATAGTTTTATTTTTGATCTAATAATGTATATTGTATTTTCTTAAAATACTAATTGTTTGAAATATATGATTCAATGATTTATCTCCCTGTGGCAACAGTTTCTAATTTAATACAACAATGTACTGTATAAATCTAAAATGTCTGTTAAAAACAAAGAAACAGAATGTATCTTTGCATGATACTTTGGTTTGCTTTGATATATTTTTTTAGGTACATTGTATTAGCACAGAATTTACACCTCGGAAACATGGAGGTGAGAAAGGAGTTCCATTTAGAATACAGGTTGACACTTTTAAACAAACAGAAAATGGAGAATATACTGATCATCTGCATTCAGCCAGCTGTCAAATCAAAGTGTTTAAAGTAAGAAAGTTAAATATATATTTTTGGAGTGGCATAGGAAATAGCAATATGGAATTTATTCTTGTATTATTTTTTTCCTTCCTTCCTTCCTTCCTTCCTTCCTTCCTTCCTTCCTTCCTTC